CTCCAGTCCAGAAGTTCTTTTATATTTAACTATATTAATACTTGGCCTGTACCTTAGTATCTGACAACACTTAACTTAGTATTATAGTGTTTTGCAGACAACTTCTTAACAATGGTCAATTTATTGAAACTTTTTAAAATATAAAGTTTTTAAACAAGGGGTTTCTTTATTTGTGTATATGGATGTTTTGTCTGTATGTATGCACACCAGAAAGGGCATGGAATACCATGGGCTACAGTCTTCAACAGTTGTTAGCCCCCATGTTGGTATGGAGAATTTAACTCAGGACCTCTAGAACAGCCGCCAGATCTCTTAACTGCAGAGCCATGTATCCAACCCTCATTTAATATATTTTACACTATTTTACATAATTTTCTTTATTCCTAAAATGGGAATACAGTGATTGCTGATCCATATAGATTGTATTGAGGAAGATGTGGGTCACTAACCATCAAAATATCATATGTGGTTGACATTTTTCTTGTTAGAAATGTTATAGCTATGGTTAGTATAGTTTTATATAGATAAAATCATAATACAGGATATATTTCTTTTTTCCTCATAGAATATTTTAAAATTCATTTATTTTACATTCTGTCACCAGTTTTCCCTCCCTACTATCCTCCTTTTTCTTCCTCCTATGCTTCTCCCCAAACACAACTAATATTCTATTTCCAATCTGAAAGGTGCAGGACTCCCATAGGTATCAACAATGCATGCCATATCTAGTGTGGTAGGGCTAATCACCTTTCTTTGTATGTAGTCTGCTGAAGGAAAATTTTATAAATAGGTTTTCAAGAGCCAGCCAAACATTAGCAACAGCAAGACCTAGCAATTCCACTCTCAGACATATGCTAAAAGAATACTTAATCATACCACAAGGACACTTACTCAACAATGTTTCTAGAAGCCTTATTTGTAGCCAGAAACTGAAAACAACCTAGATGCCCCTCAAAGAATGGATAATGAAAGTGTGGTACCTTTATTCAATGGAGTATAACCAGCTGTTAAAACAATGACATCAAGAAATTTGAAATCAAATGGATGGAACTAGAAAAAATCATCCTGAGTAATCTGACCCAGACGCAGAAGACAAAAATTGTATGTACTTACTCATAAGTAGATATTAACTGTAAAGTAAAGGATATCCATGCTATAATCCACAGAAATCTTAGAGGCTCAATGAATTTGATGCAAATAGCCCAGTCTTGGTGAATTCAGAAGGCCTGGAGCTACCAGAAAATGAGGAAGAGGAGAAAATGGAGGAGACTAAGGAAAAGTTTGGCAATCGATACAAACTCATGGGGAAGATCTTGTTTAAGAAGGATGAGAAGGTGACAATCGATCATGGGCTTGTGTCTTCCTTCTGCTGCAGTGTGACACGCACCAGTAGCTGTACCGACATCAAGGAGCAGATCATGAAGGCCTGGAACTTGGACAAAATTCTACAAAGGGATAATTTATGGACAAAAGTAACCAAGAGATCAATACTAACCAACCCTTTGTGGAGACACTGTAGCAGAAGGCTGAGGCAGGCAAAAATGGCAAAAGTGTCAAGGACCTGGTGGTGCTGCTCTTTGAAACTGCTCTGATTTCCTCTGGTTTCTCAATTGAGGATGCCGCAGACCCACTTCAACCACATGTACAGCATACTCAAACTAGGCTTGGGCACTAAAGAAGAAGAGGTGACAGCACAGGAGCCGAGTGCTGTTGTTCCTGATGAGATCTCCCATTCTAGGGTGATTAGGATGCTTCTTGAATGGAATAAGTAGACCCCTGGGAAGACCCTGCCCTCTGTTATAGTTTCTCTGTGTACCCCCACTGACTTCACTGGCTATGACCCACCTAATTCTATATTCATATCCAGAGGGACTTTCCTTTTTTTCCAACTTTTTTTATTTGAATTAGAAACAGGATTGTTTTACATGAAAATCCCAGTTCCCTTCTCCCACCCGTCCTTCCCTACCAACCCCCCAACTAAAACCCTATCTATCACATATCATTTCTGCTCCCCCTGGATGGTGAGGTCTTCCATAGGGTGTCATCAGAGTCTATCATATCCTTTGGGATAGGGCCTAGGGCCACCATGTGTCTTGGCTCAGGGTGTATTCCTCTATATAGAATAGGCTCCCAAAGTCCACACCTATGATAGGGATAAATACTGAAATTCTGCATGAGGTCCCGTAGAATTCTGAGGTTTCGTCACAGAAACCCATGTTCCTGGGTTCTGGATCAGTCCCATGCTGGTGTTCCAGATATCAGTCTGGGGAGCAAGAATTCCCTGATGTTCAGGTCAGCTGTTTCTGTGTGTTTCACCAGCGTGGTCTGGACCCCTTTGCTCTTCACTTGTCCTTCTCTGCAGCTGGGTTCCAGTTCAGTTCGGTGATTAGTTGTGGGTGTCTGCTTCTACTTCC